TTGTTATAACATTTGTTCTTAGACCTTCTTCTGCAATAACATTATCGTTGGTTATACGTTGGCGTTAGAATAAGGAATTCTTGAGTCACCAATCAGTGTTTTGGTTTTCGTGTTGGTTAATACGAAGCGTTTCTGAAAGTCTTCGAGGGACAGCGTGAGGTCCAGAGTAGCAAGAGCTGGACACTGACAGTTTATGAGACTTGATTGACAACTTTCTTCAGTTTTCCACCTCTGAAAGCGATTGATGCTTCTTGTGAATGGCTAAGGATCTTTATAAGCCCTGTGCCACCCAACTCTCAGAAACTGTCAATGTCCAGCTCTTACTACGCTGGAGCTCACGCTGTCCCTGGAAGACTTTCAAAAACAATTTGTAACAACCAACACGGAAAACCAGAACACAGATTGGAGACTCGAGAATCCTTTATTCTTACGCCAATATGTAACCAACAATAAGGTTATTACACACAAGGCTACTAGATGGGACACCACTAGGTACCATATCAACGGAAATGTATACTCGAACCCTCGGCATAACGGGTATGGATTGGCCCCTGGTCCTTCTAGGCACACTCACGAGATGAGTCAGCAAATGTACAACTACGTAAAACCTAGCACACACTATCCTCAAAACAACCTAAAAACAGGGTACTATGGCCCTGTAAATTACAATGTTAACAGTGAAACAGACTATTTTATGCAGAGAAATGATCCTAGATACCCACGTAATGAGGCCAGAAACGATTATATGCAGCAGGATTATTTTCGGTTGCAGCAAACAATAGCCCCCCTCGCGGCACAATTTGTCCAGGAAATAGTAAATACGCTGACAATGTCTCATATGAGGATCCCTCCGAACATAACATAGGCAACCAGGAGTTAGGGATAGTAACAAGAAAACCTACTACCTATCCCAACAACCCTGGTTTTCTGAAAATTATGCTTTTAAATGCTCGATCTCTCCTTAACAAAATAACTTCCCTTCGCAGCTTGGTATACATGGAGCGGCCAACACTGATTCTGGTAACTGAAACTTGGCTTACTACTGATATACCTGACACAAAGCTGATAATTGATAACTATAACATCCACAGGAATGACAGAGTGGACAAGAGAGGAGGCAGGTGTCTAATGTATGCCTCCAAATCCACTAACTCCAATACCTTTACAAACCTAACTATAGACAAACTCCCAGAATCCAAGTGGACAAGCATCCACACGAATGAAAATAACATTCTTGTGGGATGTATATACAGAGCCCCTAACAGCCCTATAACGATTGATACGGTTATCGGAGAAATACTAGAGGTTGTACCTAAGCTGGAATCCGACTACAAACTAGTTTGTGGCGATTTCAACCTCCCTGGAGTGAACTGGGATACCTGCACTGGACCGAGAACCTACGAGGTGATCCTAGAAGCCATAGATGTAGGAGGATGGAAGCAGTGCGTACGCCTCCCAACACGACACAACAATATTGTGTAAGAGTTTCAGAAATCATAGGCCCATTTAATGTATGAACTCAGAGACTACACCTGTTGTTTGTTTTCCCTCTATTTATAATTCCAGACAAAAAAGCGGCAGTCATGACAATAACACCCATTCAATCAAGAGTCGATCAAACTATGTCTACCTGATACAAAGGGCGAACCATAACCAACATACGAATGAAATATGAGAAAACAAGGTAGAAACTTACGGCAACACCATATGAAAAGATAAAAGTTACTTGAACATCATTTATAATCCACCCACTGGTCTCCTTCCCAAAAAGAATGCGGCGATGTTTTAACCAAAATGGCGAGGAAATACATAAATCCGAAGCTGCTGTTATAAACACTCAGTGGGGGTAGGAGCCAACAAAGTAATCCATTCAAAGCATATGTATACTTCATATGGACACGGAGACTCTCTGCAGAATACGTCATAATCCAAATCACTGCCTATACAGCGCCAAGAAACCTGGATATCTATGATATAACGAAAACATGCTGAAAGCTGCATCTCAGATCATTTGATTCATTCGATGGTAATGATCTACTCCTGCATGCCTTATTCGACATCTTGAATGGAATGGTTCGCAGTTATTCTGGTACTAGATCGAAAAGAATAAATAACTCACCGGTTGCTGAATCAAGAGTACTTCTCTGCATGTTTAACTGTATTCTAACTGCTATGATTAATTCCAAACCATTTATCTCATAATCACTCGAATTCCAGGAACGATCCAATCCTACCATTTAAAGACGCTGGCGAACATGCTGTAAATGAGTATTCATGATATGAAATGAAGAAGCAACTGGTTTTCAAACAGTTTTACAACATTTTACTCAACTTACGAGTACAGTCCGCCATGCAGACACAAATGGCGCAAATGGAGAATTCTGGAATCGACCACGGCACCATTTGATGCAGTAAAACAACTTAATATGACCTTATCTAGTTTTTGCATCCACGATCAAATTTCTTTCCTGTTGTGAAACTACGATAAGACTGCTGAAAAATGGAATAAATATATTACTGATCTCAACATAATACATCAATAATCTTTAAGCCAAGGGTGTTGTTCACAACAAAGTTATATAGAGAATTGACTTCAAGCTTTATTTTTCCCAGATATTTGTATTACATTCATCTGATGTCTGGGTTTTTTGTTAATGCGAAGACAATATTTCTATATCTCTTTATGTGCTACAAAAACAGACTTTATAGCAGACTGTTCCGATGGACTCTAATGTCAGAAAGAACAACCACACTGTAAATTCATCCCACCAAATTATGTGTAATTTATATGATAACTTATCCATGCCTGTACAATTGGTATGTTCCTGCATAAACAGGGAGCAATATATTATTATTAAAACAATATTTATGCATGCCTATACAATTGGTGTACCCTACATAGCTAGGGAAAAAATGTACCTTGTCATATTATCCTTACTAAATATGCTTATTAATATTATGTGTAACTTATCGAATTGATGATGCCTGCAAACTGGCGTCCCTCATGTAAAAAATGAGAATATATATTATTATTATTAATAAATGTTATAACAATAAATCACGATAATACTTCTGACAGTTTTCTGTCTTCCACTGAATAGCGAGCGATGAGACGAGGACTGATGGATTGATGACCCCCGTGAAAAATATGGAGTTGAGTTTGAGCAAACAACCATGAATTGATCGTTCAATCTTCAACTACATTGATACCCCCTCCTATATGTCACCTTGTAGTCTTTCCTTCTCTACCTGTCCTTCCAAGCTGTTTGTTTTCGCCTCCAGAACTTTGTCTGTGAGTGGCATCATCCTCGAAGTTCTGATATTCGAGTGTATTCCAATCAACCGGGGATGAGTACTGTGGGGAGGGATCTTTGCCCAAATTGAAGCAAACCTCGATAGAGATATTATAGCCGAGTAAAAGATGTGGTGGGACACCTTTAAAACACCTAAATATAACATCTGTCATGATTACAGAATTCATCGGGTCTAACTGTGGAAAATTCACTAGCTGAGGTAATTCAACTTACCACCTCTGTTCTACCTATACAAGTGTACTGAAACGAAATCGCCGCAATTTTGATTAATGATACCATATATCCTCATTGGTTTCCACTAGTCAAAAGTGTACCTTTTACCTATCTCTCAACGATCTGCTGAGTGGTCCAGTAATGTGCAGTCAACAAAGTCATCTGTGATAGATTACAGTCATGTTCCACTCCTGTCTTCAGTTTAGATGCTTCACTGGGCTTTCTGCCTTGAGTCATCTGCTATGTGGTATCATTATACCGCTATTGGATGATATTATTTTAATGAAGATTTTGGTCACTCTTCAGCAGTGAATCATAAAATTACTTACTTCATCGCTGATCCCGCTGGAAGCATTTCCATAGGCTGTGAAGTTGATATAGATGTTTGGCTATAATTCTACACCCTGCCCACTGATGATGCATAGGGTCTGAATATGATTTACTTTCCCATTTCTGTATCCAAAAAATCCTTCAGTCTCTCCAGGATTCAGCTACTTAATATTTCGCTTGGCCTGAAAGGAGCATGGTTTCGCGCCAGTTCTATCAAAAGCAAAACTCGTCCTTCTTTGGTAAGACAGTCTTTTTCTCAATCAGTAGCTATTTTCAATCCACTCAAAACATTCTGCAATAGTGGCATGAATATATACTCTGGGGTCTCTGGATTCGTTCTTATTGGTCAGATAATTATTCTCCAAAATTTACACAGCTTTGTGTGATTCACTAATTCCGAATTTCAGATCACAAATAACTATGGAGAACAGTTGTTTACAGGCATTTCTTCTTCTACCTGCGCAATAATAAATCCATTAATCTTAGCGTACAATACCCAGTAAAGGCAAATCAGAATTATATCAGAAATTCCATTGCTTGGTAAATACAAGGTGGGATAATGGTTGGTTAGTTTTGGTTATTATTTAGAATATATATGGCCGACTAGAACATCAGATTAAATAAGATGAAATGATTCATTGATATGTATATATATTTACACACAATCAAAAATACAGGTTTCAAGGGTGAGTGTGGCCAATGGTGTGTGAGACAGTATGAATAATAAATAGAAATAAACCAACAAGTATTACAGACTGGACGTAAGCTGAAGGGTGGTAGATAACAGCAATAATAATAGTGAAATACTAACGGCTGTGCGGTGAAAATTTAAAAGCACTATTAGTGATCGATTATTATGTGATAATGAATTTGGTGAAGTAGAATGAACGGAGTCGTGCGAACGTAATAACACGTCTGAGGGCGTTACGTAAGTCTGAAGTAATATATATTGCAAGAAAGGTTATGAAGTCGTGAAAGTTGTGGCCTCATTTGTGTCTTTTCAGGTATCCAGGTTTGGAAATTTTATCTGGTCACTTAGCACTTTGATACGTTACCCTGAGCTTAGCATCAACCAAGGAACAAAGAAATATCATTACATTAACTCACTTCATTTATGTTCAATTATTGGCTGTTGAATGTCATAAAAAGCAATGAACATTGAATAACCTTGCGTCATTAGCGGGTCTCTAGGTTAAATACAAACATGGTGGCTGGCTTTGGTGATTTAGGGAAATCGGCGCGTGACGTATTTGACAAGAACTTTACCTTTGGGTTACTCAATTTCGAGTTCAAAACAAAAACCGAAAATGATGTATCAGTCACATGTGGGGGAAAACATGATACAACTGCTGGCAGAGTTTCCGGTTTCGTTGAGTCGAAACTTAAAACTGCCCCAGGAATCTCCATAAAGACTAAAGTGGATTCAAAATGGATATTAACGAGTGAACTTGAAGTGGAAAAGAAACTACATGAGAACCTGTCTCACAACATAATTACCACTATGGAACCGGATTCAGGGTTAGTTGATTTCGTTTATGGTAATAGTTTTTTCTAGAGCGAAATCACTGGTTCTCAAAAATAAGTTCAAACATGAACATTTCAATGCAAATCTTGACATGAATTTTAAGTCTAAATACCCACTCCTAACTGGGTCACTCGTCGTTCCGTAAGTTAAAATCATCGCGTTAATTTAATCCTCTTAGTGTTCCTCACTATCCAGCCTTTTGTCTTGGCGCTCAAGCAGTTTTCGATAGCCAAAAGAATGAGATTAGCAAACAAACATTTGCTTTGAACTTCAAGCAGTCAGATCTGCAGGTACATTGTGCAGTGACTGGAAAGTCGGACGTTGACTTGAGTGTTTTTCAAAAGTGTAAAGATATGAAGCTTGGTTTCCGCGTTGGCTGGCGTCCAGAAACTCGCGAAACTTCATTTGGAGCGGCTGTTAGATATAGAACTAATCCTACTGGTAAAGTAAAATTGAGAATCGATCAAAACTGCTTAGTCGGGCTTGCTTACAAGTTGAAGTTGAACTCAGGTATTTATTCTACTTTTTCATTTTTTTCTTTGTGCAGTGTATGACGGTATTTTGATAATTGCGCAATGTTCTTTGTGGTGTCATTTCATCGCAACACTCGATAGTACATTATCTGGTCTCTAGCTAGCCGATTTAGTATTTCCAGTATTTTGTTCCAGAAGCTTTATTTAAGGCTTAACCTGTAAAGTATCCGATACTCGATGTATTTCCTAACAGCAGATCGTTTAGTCAAACGACTTGGAGCGGAACGAAGTTTGCTGAATCCTTTTGTTTGTCTATCTGTTTTCAACATAGAACTTTGCACTGATGCGCAGCAGTTCAAGTCGCCGCACTCCATGTAGCTGATCCTTTATGAGTCATTTTTGTAGTCTGAAGGTTATTTGGGTAATAAAGTTTTGGTTTTTTTAATCCTGGTCTTTATGCACTGGTGGCTTCTGTTGGTTTGTGCAATCTTTTCATCCAGGAAGTCTATAAAATGTTGGCGAAGTTAAGCAATAGCGTCCCAATGGATGCGAGCGCTCCAATGACCTCAGAAACTGATGCTCTTCATAATAAGTGGGACGTAATTTTAAGCCATGTCAGAGAAAGATGCTGTGTTTAGTCGGTTCTCATGCATTTTCCTGCACTTAAACGTTATTTTTGTACAGAACTCACTTATATTTATGGTTGTCAAAAAGGTCTTCCCATAATTTTGTTATGCCTACAAGTGGACTTAACTAGAACACCATTTCCTCCCTAGGTTTCGTCTCATATGCTTGATACTTCATTTAGCATTTAGATGTATTGCTGAGGCGCACAGTTTTCTAATTCAACCCCCCCCCCCCAAGGTGTAGTCCCTGACTTATAAGCAAGGGATCAATTAATATCGGTAAGGTGATATTCTTATGTGGTCATCTCCAACATGTGGCTATTGCGTTATGTGTGACAAATCCATCCATGCGAAGCTAAACAAATTTGTTTATATATAAAGCTTTACTATAATTGGGTATGGAAATCAGTGAGACAACAAAAAGGTAAGGGAATCGATTTAAAATTTTGTGTACGAACAGTTGTTTGGGCTGGTAATTAATGCGCATGACGAATGGGTAAGTGAAGTGGACTGCAAGTATTCTCACTCTGTTCAGGTTAGCACATTATTGAGGATAATTTAGGCCCATATTTCGTCATCAGTGAAGTATTGCCTTGTCACCTAACTTACTAATTTCTGTTGCATAAAAAATGAGTTGCGTCAATAATGGTGGGATCGCTAACTTCGTCAAAGTTGACATTCACATTCATTCTCGTACTGACTATTCACTTCTCATTTATGTTGGTATTAATGACGTATCGATTCGTAGTACCTACTTCTAACCTAACTTTTCAGCTTCTGCCATTTGTCGAGTTATGTGTGGTTACGTAACTGACGTAGACTTTCTAGTTTTTGATTTCAAATTTGTTCACATCCTGTTTTTAGTGTGTTTGTAAAAATCTAACTGCTATCTTTATTTTTAGATGCCAGCGTGGCACTATGCACTCAATTTGATGGCAAAAATTTGGAAAGTGGAAGTCAGAAATACGGTATTATGTTCAAGTTTGGATCGTAATATGAACAAGAATGATCTAGTTCGCGGTCTCCTAGGTTCAATTATGCTTAGACTCTGGTGCTTGCACCCTTGTTAGATTTTACAAGTGTTATACTAAACCTGTAAATTAACCATTATCGTTTTCAATATGTCATTGCTTTTCTATGACGCTTATCATACATAGTGACTGGGAGATCCCATTACGCGTAGTTTCCCATGTATTTGGTGAAGACCTAGTCAAAACAGCACGTAATTTCAGTAATAAAGTTATTACTTTGCTGTGTTCGTTAAAGTATTTTTAAGATTTGAGACTTTTCTGCAAGGTAATCACCTACAATAACTTGTCAGCTTCTGATGCCGTGTACTTGTCGTTAAGGTGGACCATCGGTTAGGACATGTAATAGTCATTCAAAATTTGCTTTTTTGCTGGTGGAATTTTGATGAAAACTTTACCCAGCGTTAATAGCGTTTCTTTCCCAACACCGTGTGGATTTCAGAATGATATAGGAATGGTCAACTAAGCAGTGACGAAACCTGCTTGAATGAATGACACTTTGAGGCATATAAAGGAGGTTCCCGAGTTTACCCTGCATTTCTTTTTAATTACGGTGTGTATTGTTTGCGCAGGGATCCGTGCTTGCAGTTGTCGTAATCTTTCTTGCGGTACTTGCTTCAAATTATATAAACGACTTAGTTGGTGTTAGTTTATCGTCCTACATTAGACTGTCGTACGTTCGGAATATTACAGTCTTCCTTGCTTTAGGTAGGATTCTCTTGTCCTGTTCAGACACCAATACTTCCCACCAACCCCCCAAAAAAACGATCTTGAGAACTAAATCAAACGCTTCTTCAAGCTTCTATTTCTGCCTAAATAAAAACCATCATTTAGTCCACACTAGTTATCATACTAAACAATAAGTCAGCGAAATTACTAACATAAGAGTTTAGCTTAGTAATATGGTTAAACCAAGTGTAGTAAGATGATATTCGAATGTGGGCAGATGACATACTTGTGCATAAAGCTGTCATTTGTATAGTGTTCGTTATAAAAATACAGTGACTTGTAGTTAGACTCTGCAGGCAACAGATTTCAGGCTCGACATCATCATAATTGCAATATCTCCCTTGTCTTGTAGCACTCATCGATTTCTGACCATGTGGTTTCTTCTTGTCTTGTTTGCTATCTTTCGCGTAATGTGCAAATATCAGATTTGATAAATTCAAAAGTATACACCGATACTACATACAATGCCGACACTTCAGTGGCATCGTTGATTGGGGGGGGTGTATTTCTGTGCACCTTTGGTGAATTATTTTCTTGACAGTTTAGTTTCAGTATGTTATAACGATAGAAATGCTAAATACACACTACATTGTCGGATAGTGTTTTAGAGTTCAGTTACGCATAGGGGCTGTGCGTGATTTATATCTGTTCTAAAATAAAAAATAGCTTAACATTAACATCTTGACTGTTAAACTAAAGGTCAAATTAGAGGTAGAACAGTTTGAAAATGGATTAAAAGGTGTCTGAATGTTAATTGTGAATAAAAATCAGTGAAATGGAGAGTCAAGATATAATCGTGACGATCTTAAAATAGTAATACACGAATGTGATGAATATTGCCAAGTAACCACTTATATTATGTAGTATCGTGCGGAGATTCTGTGAAAATTCTTGATAAGCACTGTGGATGTACGAAACCAAAAAGTCTACCAATAAGTAATGACTGAAACAGCGGACCAGTTAATTTTTTTTATCATATGTTTACGACTCATGTGTTAATCCTGCTGTAGGCCAAAAATAGTGGAATTACATTTTTCTTGTGAAGACAGACAAGCTTTCCTGCTATTGACAGCTGTCTATGAAAGAAATGGTGGGAGTTGTTGTGTGCGTCGGTGGCACAGTGGTTAGGACTCTCGCCGACCATGCACATCGTCTGAGGTTCGATCCCCTGCTGACTCACACCTGATATCCATGATCGGCCTGCGAAATTTGGGCTACCGATATCCATGCTGAAAATTCCATGCTTGTACCAAAAATACAGTGTGGAATCAAGCTGTAATCAAAAATAAATAAATAATAGGTTTTTGGCCCGGACGATAGCTGCTACCTTTGGCGTGGTGGTCGGGCTTACGTATCTCAACGAGCCAACAAGCTTCATAGGCTGTAACTAATGTTCCTGCATGTCCCACCATGTTAAGATAGCGATTAGATTAATAGCAGTTACTGGCATAGTGTACGATTTTTTTTACACTATACTGTGTGTGTGTGTGGACGAATTTGTACTGCTGGGGAACAGGTATTTAACAGCAATGGGCTGTTTCTATCGGATGACGATCTTCTCCTCACTCTGCAGAGAGGGAGCTAGAAAAGGTCGACTCCGAAAATTGTACATCTCGACTAACCTTACGATGGTCTGGAGCCAGCAGTAAATTACCAATACGAAACCAAACTAGAAATCAATTCAGACAGGCCATGTGTTACCTGCCTCAAACAGATGTCCCTTGGGCTCTGCAAGCACTCAACATTAACCCTCTTTCTGTTTCAGGCACCCCAAGAATAAATCAACTCCTACGTTGTGGACAACTGGGAAGTAACAACCGCCCACACACTTCCGAAAGCACACGGAACCTTCCTTTATCCCTGTCACCCTGCTTCCTTGCTACTGTCAATACTGTTCTACAGGCTAGTCAGTCATCTTCATTTCATTCTATAACCACAAATAGCCCTAGAAGCCAGGAAAATACCACTGGTAGTTCTTAGAGCCACTCTGCCAAGTCGGACAACAGACATCACTAGCAAGAACTCTGGCATCTCGAGCCATGGATGTATGTTGTGTTCTGGAGATGCGTATACTAGACCCGAATATGATTACTCACTTAACCCCACCCGGCCAACAAGGTGAATCTGCAAAACCCACCTTAAGGGAGTCTGGAGATTCCTCATCGATCTCGTAGATGTAGAGATAGCATTGAGTGTTAGGGTAGAAAAATCACTTCTTGACTTGACACCAGTAGATAGTCGTATGTGTGCGGTCCGTCTGAATGGGTCCATTAAAAGAAGGGAAGACGGCGCTACCGGTCGTTGCCTTTTTGTAGTCTCTGCCTACGCCCCAACCGACTGCAGTTCAAATGAAGAGCACTTCAAACAAACTACAGACGTTCATCAACAGCTGTCTTCGCTCAATACTCAAGATCAGATGGCTGGCCAGAAAAGATCAGCAACAGGGAGGGATTTCTGGCAATGAGCGAACCATCCCAGCAGGAACCAATTGTGCAACAAGTAAGCAGGGGAAATGTAGGTGGATTGGCCATACTACGAGAAAACCATTAAGTGACACACGCCAGGCCATCGCTCGAGCGGAACCCGGACGGAAAGTGGCGAGTTGGTCGTCAGTATTAGGGTGATATGGAGGAGGTCATGTGTAGAGGAGATGAAGCATGTGGGCAGACGTGAAGCTAGGTGAAAACGTCAGAGAACCGAACGCAATGGAGACGTTCGGCCAAAGCCCTATGTTCCTCTGGGAAATAAAGGAAACAATAATACGAGGAACTGTCTAATTTGCTGCAAATCGTTCAGATATAATTGTTTTAGCAGGCAACTTTAATGCCTAAGTAGGGTAGTTATATCAGACTGAGGAGTGTGTAGGTGGTGCGTATAGAGTTCCCTGTCGACACCGATGACCGTCTTCTACAGTGCTGTTTAGATAATCATCTGTTCTTAGTCAGCACTAACTTCAGGCCCAAAGAGAGACATCGTCTAACCTGGCAACCTCCATCACCAAATCAACATTGGACTCAAATGGACCATATAACGATAGGGTATCGTTGGTGAAGGTCAGTAGATACTGCCGCTCCTTCAGCAGCACGTGCTTAGACTCCGATCCGCCCTGGTTCGTGCACGTTTATGCTTGTGATTAAATGGACATTAAAAGCTGTTGGCAGCAAGGCAGTTACATCCCCAACTGGATCAAGACACAGTCCCTACTTAAGGAAGAAATAGCGAAATGAGTGTCTGAGGTTGACAGCAAGACTTCTAAGAAAGCCTGGCATATCATACAGTTCTCTGTAGACACGAATGTAGGGAATTTTAATAACCTAAGACCAAAAGTTAATAAGAACCGTTGGGTCTCTATTACCTCGTCCGAAGTGACTGACTCAACAAGACAAATTCCGGCGAGCTCCGAATATGATGAGCGAAATCTGTTCGAACGTAAACTAATAATAAGTCCTCGCGACAACTGTGAATATTGGTGGGTGACAAAAATGGAAGGTATAGAAAAGGCATCGGTGATCGGTAACACCAGACAACTATTTAAACTTATCAGGAAAACAGGTGGTAAAAGACAAATGATAAGTGAAACAGACTCCGAGAAAAAAGGCACCATAATTCGCTCTCATGGCAGACGACTAGAATGTTGGAAAAGCACTTTGAGGAGCAATTCAGTTGGCCTACAGCCACGCTCAACCTGCTCAACACCCCCTGAATGGGACATAAACACATACCTTTCACCCCTAACTTAGGTTAATAAAGCTGTCACGAGGCAAAGCAGCGGGACCTGATGGAATGACTCCAGAGGTATTCAGGGACGGTGGAGACAGTTTGCCGTCTGCGTTAACTAAGTTATGAGGCAGCATCTGGGAATCAGAGGTGGTGTAATTCATTGATTATCCTGATGTACAAGAAGGGAGACAAATCTTCCTGTTATTGTTTGTAGGGGGATTTGATATGCTTCAAGTTTGACCACGAATTGATATCAGTTAGAGGACTACTGAAAACATATAGGGAGTACCGGACAGCTGTTTCCTCCTTCCTAGTTTAGGACTCATCAGCACTACGTACCCATCGCCAGGGTTTGAACCCAGGACCTCCTGGCTACAAGGCAACCCCGTAGACCATTTGACTGGATTTATTTTGCTGTCGCATATGACTTATTTTTAATATGACGTAAAGTCGAAGACTTGCAGGCAGGCGAAAACCTACAAACCGGCTGAAGAACCAACTAAGACAGGACTCTAGGTGAATATGGAGAAAACGGAGGCGGTGAAAATTACTAACCAACAACTAGCACCAATCACCATGATGTGGGAGAGATTTGAAAGAGATCACCTCCTTCACTTGTCTAAGAAACACCGTTTCAACTACAGACACACGGAATGGATGAAGATGCCGAAGCCAGTCATAATAGGAAAGGCAAGATACGCTCACATTCACCAACCTGAAACCAGTTTGGAAATCTTCTGGACTCAGCCAGCCAACATAAAGAACAAGATTCGGGTTCTGTT